GAATATACTTATGTTCTAAAAAGATTCAATTTGAGATGCCCAAATAAAAGCATATTTCGCAAAACATAGTTCGATTATATCAAATGTATACAAATCTATATAATCCACCATTCTATTCATACTATTCACTTTTAAGTATGCTTCTTGATTATGGGAGCTCTAATTTCCCCACTAGTTGTGATTGGACGTGTGAAATACCATGTAAACTAGATCACACCATCTTAGCGCAGCCACAAAATCAAAAACATCGGTTTAGTTTCTTCAAAAAAAAAAAAATTAAAAATAATTATTAAGCAAAGTTTATACACTTTCAAAATTCTTACTGCTACTCCAGTAAAAAAAATAAAAAATATCGAAATAATCTAAACAATCTAAACATTGGTTCTGACCCAACAAAGAAAATTTTATAGTCTTTTGTTCGGTACTTTGTTCTCAAGAGAATAAAATTTTGCTGTGACCTATATTTACATGCCTGTAATTTTAAAAAACACCCAACTTTGCTTCATAATTCCTTAATTATATTCTGGCCGCAATTTTACTTTTGCTTAAAAGATAATTAACACGAACATTTGAAATATTTAAAATTCATTTTATTGATACTGTTACAATACTGCAAATAAACTGCAAATTGCTAATTAATAGTTTTTTTTTTAATACTAATATATTAATGTACTCAAGTTTTCAAAAGCTATTTTCTGTAAGAAAAATAATTAGTTGGTATTAAGTTCTTTCAGAAAAATAGCTTTCAGAAAACCCTGATACAATATTTCAATAGGTGCTAGTTTGCTAATTAGTAATGCTGAAAATAAATGTTATTGAAACATCTGATATGAAATATAAAAACGATAATTCAGGATTACCAAATGATACTGGTATTTCTCAAAATGAAAAAGCAACAGAGAAACTTTCTACCAACTGTTAAGAAACACAACAGAGTATTACGACAAAATTGGAAAACAATTTAACAAATGGGGGGAGTTAGTAGAAATGGGACAAATTTATTAGATAAATTTGTCCCATTTCTACTAACCTCCCCCCAAATAATAAAATGATTCATGAATATTTTTCTTCGAAAAATTTAGCCAAATTGCAAACAATATAATTGAAATTCTATTAAAAACTCTTCTCCAATTTTTTTATTTGAAAGTGACACTTCACCTAGTAACAATCGATTAACATAATGGATCGTTTCAATCAGCAATGACTAAAATTACTCACTGCTAAGTTGTTAAATAATTAGTAAATTTTTCATACATTTACAAAAACAAACCAAAATAAAACAAAACAAAAAACAAAAAAATTCAATACTTATTTTGTTTTCAGATTTTTGTATAGCAGTATTTAAAAAAGTAGGTATAATAAAAATTTTTTTGCCGAAAATTTATTTAAACATTCACACAAAATTATTACTAAACTTGAAAGTGCTAAAACCAAAAGAGCAAAACATCGAAAATAATTATTTAAAAAAAAATTTAATTAATATAATTATTGCGAAAAGAAGTAATTTATTCTTTAATTGCGGTGTATTAGATAGTTTCATAAAATTTTTAGCAATCCTGATCAATGATGTAATTGATTTCTTCCGATTGAAAATAATATTTGTATTTGTCCAATGGGAAGTGGTGGGAGAATTAGTAAACCCCTTGATCATTACATTGGTTGTGCTAATTTTCCCGATTGGGACACTTAGGAGCATAATGCTCTGTTTCATGATACAAATGACATCTACATACACTTGATACTTCAATTCCTTTCTCTCTGTTACTGCTATTTGCATGTTTTGTATTGCTAGTGGATGCTTTACTATTTTCTTCAGTAAAAGCTTTTAAACACTTAGTAGCAGGTCTACCTTTACCCTGATGTGCAATTGGATCTTGAATATTATCTGCATCATATATGCAACTATCAACTAGTCTTACAATATTATTATTATTTAATATTTAATCTTCAATAATTACTGATTGAGCTTCAGACTCTCACTTTTTTTCCTTTCTTGCAATATAAGACAAAATAAGTTCATTCAAATTCTTTTGATCATTATCCTCCATCGAATAGTTTAGAGCTTTTTTGAAATTACCCATAAGTCTACCGTATTCTACTTTCTTTTGTACATGATGCTGAATCATAGTTTCCTGAATATTGTTGAAATGTTTAAGAACAATTTGTTGTATATTTTTATCCTGAGATTTTGGAGATAACAATCCAATAAATGGTTCTTTAGAAATAAGATCCAAATGCTCCCATAAGTCATTTTGAAACCATCTGGTTGGCATTAGCATTACGTGAAATAATGCACTTGGATTTTTTATCATCAACTTAAAATAGTGTTGACAAATGACACTACGCGAAACCAGAAGCAAATATGTACATAAATGCGTATTATCATAATATGTTGATATGAGTTTGGTACCATGTAGGAAATAATTTGCTAGACTTCTTTAATTGTATTATTCAAAACAGAATTCATTAATGCCTTTAAATATGTTTGCCGGAAGTTATAATAATCTTCGACAGCCTCATCTTGATCCATATTCTAAGCATATATAATATATTAATATCGATATACTATCAGGGCTCTAAATCTTGTAGTTTAATAAGTTATTTTACCGTTTGATTTTCATTGAATTCGCTGTTATACTCTTTTTGATTTACTATTTGTTCCTACAAAAAATATATACATACTCTTTTTTAGTTATGTCTGAAGTGCTTCAGGCATGTGTAATTTAGTAATAAAGCAAGTTCAAATATAACCTATACATACTAACTGATCCTCATTAAATTCAATAGCAGAACCAATCTTTATTTTTTTACATTGATAAAGAACTGATTCACACATTTGATTCTTAAGTTCTTCAATAATTCGATATAATAAGTGCTTTTAAATTAATTCCTCGATGTTACTAAAAAGTCTTTCTATAATAAATGGCTGATGATATATTAATGACTTATATTTCCATATTATAAAACTTGCATTTAAGGGCTTCTTTTTGCATCCTAGAATCAATAGCCTCAACTACATTAATCATACTTAAACTAGAAGAAACTTCTTTGTAGATAAGGGCGTTAATCGATTCAATGCATTGCGTTGATTGCATTCCCACAGTAAAAATTCTGTTTACAAATACACAAGCCCAGGATTGTTGAGTTGGATAAAGAGTGTTATGCAAGTATTCATATGTATTAGGATATTTTTCAATTAAAGCTTGAAACCATTGTTCAAAAATGTTAACACATAATGAATTTCAAGCTTTCCAGAATTCATTAAGAAATTTTTTGAATTTCACGTGACCAAGCTTTGATTTGAGTCTTTTTGGCAAATTTTGTAACAAATGCCAAATACAATATAAGTAATATGTATTTTCATATATATTTTTACATGCAGCATTCATTGCAGGATCCATATCAGTAATAAAAACATTCGGCTCAGAACTAGTTGCGTCTAGCGTTTGCTGCAAAACCCACTTATAACTTTCTTGTGTCTCATTGTTTAAAAAGGCCTGTGCACCAAGACGTGATTTACCTTCACTGTCAACAAGAATAAATAATGACAATGGGAAATTGTATTTATTTGTTCTTGAGATATTGTCGTGCAAAACAACATCAAAATAATGAGACCACAATAAGATTTGGTTTGCTGTCATCCAAAATATGCTGCATAACCGATTACTATCTACGTTAATTAGTGGTTGCACAAATATTGTAGGTTCTTTTTTCTGTTGGTTAAGAAGAAATTTTAGCAAATGAGAAGCATCAGACCTATTAACCTTTTTGTCACATTTAATTTTCTGAATTGCATTAGAGAGATCTTGCATAAGGAATAATTGATCAGAAAATTTTAGTTGAAGTAAGTTTCTTATCATATGTATATCACAATAACCATACACCACTGCATGTTCTATTTCAGCCATTATACTTTTGTCAAAATGCTTAAATGCTGTGGTGAACCTTTTATTATCAGCGTTGATTGTATGATTGTGCTCTGGGTAAATAAAAGTTATATGTACATAATGGGTATGTTCAGAGCTACTCAAATTAACATGACATTTACAATCTGTCCTCTTTGAGCCTTTATTACGCTGTTGGCCGATGGGTTTTGTTTTATTAGGCTTATATTTGCCTGCCTTTTCACAAGTTAATGTTCGTTTTTTAACTGTACGATTCCTATGAAATTCAACTCTATACCGTTTTGTTGCAAAACCTTTTTGCCTTCCATACTCCTTCAAGTAGTATTTAGCAATTTTCCAAGAACTAAACCGATTTTTAATAGTTAATTCTATAGAAGGAGTTATTAAGGGATAATTTGAAGGGTCAAGACCTTCTAGCTCTGATCCAAGAATAGGTTCTATAGCATTTTCTCTTTCTTCAGTATCTACAACTTTTATTATTCATATATTATTGTACAGCACTATATTAGACCAAATCGCATAATTACACTATACAAACCAAAGTTATTCTTTTTAATTTCATGCTGTTCCTCAGCTATTATAAAAAAAAAAAAAATTAAACCAGTTACTAGTTGCAAATTACAACACGCTATTCATTATACTGACCTAAATCATTATTCTTAGCCTCATACTGTCTCTCAACTATAAAAAAAAAAAAATTAGACTAGCTGCAAGTTCAAATAACAACAGACATTCACTATACCAACCTAAATTATTATTCTCAATCATGTATTGCCCGTTAACTATCAAAAAAAAAAAAACTTTAGACCAGTCACATAATTACAACATGCCATCCATATTCTGATCTAAATTATAATTCTTAATCCCATATCACTTATCAACTAATATAAGAAAAAAAATTAGACTAGTCACAAGTCGCAAATTTCAACACAATATTCACTATACTAATCTAAATTGCCTAAATTGTTATTCTCAATCATGTATTGCCCTTCAACTATTCAAAAAAAAAAATTAGATAGTTGTATAATTACAACATGCTATTATACAACATGCTATTCACTTTACTAACCTAAATTATAATTCTCAATTCTATATTATTCATTAACTACTAAAAAAAAAAAAAATTGTCACAAGTCACAAATTTCAACACAACATTCACTATACTGACCTAAATTGCCTAAATTGTTATTCTCAATCATGTATCGCCCTTCAACTATTCAAAAAAAATATATATTAGAAAGTTGCATAATTACAACACGCTATTGCACAACATGCTATTCACTATACTGACCTAAATTATAATTTTCAATTCCATATCACTCATCAACTATTACTACAAAAAAAAAAAAAAAATTAGACCAGTCACAAGTTGCAAATTACATAATCATTCACTATACTGATCTAAATTGTCTAAATTGTTATTCTCAGTCATGTATCGCCCATCAACTATTAAAAAAAAAAAAAATTAGACTAGTCATATAATTACGATATGCCATCCATATTCTGACCTAAATTATAATTCTCAATCCCATATCGCTCATCAACTAATAAAAAAAAAAAAAATTAGACCAGTTGCAAGTTCAAAAAACAACAGATATTCACTATACCAACCTAAATTATTATTCTCAATCATGTATTGCCTGTCAACTATCAAAAAAAAAAAAAAATTAAACCAGTCACATAATTATGATGTGCTATCCATATTCTGATCTAAATTATAATTCTCAATTCCGTATTGCTCATTAACTAATAAAAAAAAAAAAATTAGACCAGTTGCAAGTCTCAAATTTCAACATAATATTCACTATACTAATCTAAATTGTCTAAATTGTTACTCTCAATCATGTATTGCTCTTCAACTATTTAAAAAAAAATTAGACAGTTGCATAATTACAATGCCACAATATGTTATTCACTATGCTGACCTAAATTATGATTCACAGTTCCATATCGCTTATTAACTTCTACAAAAATAAAAAAGAAATTGAACCAGTTAGTTAATACTTTTGGTAATAGCAAACTTTAAGATATTAAACCAGTACTATTTTCCATTTCAAAATGCTTGAACATGAATAAAGTACACTGTCACGGGAACAAGGCTTAACTGACCACAGTAAAATGATATATGAATATCGATACTATTACACGAAAATAATTATACATGCCCATACGTACATATAGAGTTTTGTGTCTTGTATTATAGTAGTTATGCCCGTCTTTATGCTCTTTTTGGAAGCAAAAAAAAATTCAAAACAAGGTATGTAAGATACTATCACACAAAATACTTAGATCTCTGGGACTTGTATTATGATGTTTCTAGAAGCAAAAATTTATTACCCATAGTAATATGAAAGTAAATATGCACATCTCTTTACTCCTTTTAGAAGCGAAAAACCAGTATTTTTTTTTTTATTATTTATACTGCTGCGCTTATTGCATAATTTGTACCACATTAAAGTCAAATTCCGCAATGATCACAAGTTACACAGTACTACATAATATGGGTGCGATATTATCACATAGGCGATATATAAATATTTTCTTTTTTTTAATTAGTTGCAGTTCGCAACTAATTTAAAAATTAAATTTCAGATACTGATTAGCACCCTTATAGAAACTAATTAATTAAGTTTGTATAGTCTAATAGAGAAAAATAATATTATGGTTTATTAGTAAATATTTATATAATATAAGATTTTCTATATTTTATTAATAAAAATATAAAAATTTTTGTATCATGCAAATATTTACTAATAAAATATAACTTATATTTTAAGTAAACATGTTCAGTACTACAAATTACATTACAATAGTACAGTTTATTATATTTTTATAAAAATTGAAGAGAAGATGCTTAATTTTGGATATTTAATAAAAAAGAATTAATATTTTTATATCTCTTTTTTAATATTTTTACACCTTTTATTAATATAGATCATTTTAATTTATTTGCAAATTTTTTAATCTTTGATCAAAGATATTTCTATAAACTTTTTTATTTCAATTGTAAAAAGCAGCAGAATCTAAATAAAAAAAAGTTTACTAAGTATGTCTTCAATCAGAGTTTTAAAAAATTTTAAATATATACTAAATAAAAGCTGTATCAAAATTGGTTTTAAACTTTTATCAAAGATATCTCAACATCTATTTAACCAAATTCAATAAACATTTTTTTGTTTGAATTCTGCTATATTCTACAATTTAAATAAAAAAAATTTAGTTAGGTAGATGTTGAGATATTGTTGACCAAAATTTTGTAAAATTTTAAATATATAGTGCTTGACAAAAGTTTCCCCACACCTATATCTCCTCATAGAGAGGTGCTACAACTGTGAAACTTTCAGAAAAGTTAGTATCTACATAGTTTAGATCGTGTATATGTTTTGAAGATTTTATAATCACTAAAAAAAAATTTAGATGAGAACTAAATTTTGGACGTTTTTTGTTCTAAAAAAATCAAAAAATCAATTGAATTCAAATATATTGTTAAGGCTTAAAGCCAAAACTTCTAAAAATTAATATATTAAAGTTCAATTATTTTTGTAATAGTGTCAAAAAATTTGACTCGATTTGATGAGATAGTTATTGAGAAATTAATTTTTAAAATTTTGAGTTTTATTTTTGATTAGTAGATACCTAACTCTTTTTGTATTGCAAACATTTTTTATAAATATTTCATGTTTCAATGGTCCAAATTTGATGATTTTAATATCATTAGAATTGTCTCGTCGAGACAATTCGAATGATACCAAAATCATTAAATTTGGACTACTAGATATCGAAATAGTTTCAATTGAAAAAACTATTGCTTTGTAATTTTTAAAAATAAAAATAAAAATTTAAAAATTAATTTCTCAACAATTATCTCATCAAATTGAGACAAAATTTTTATGACCACAACAGAAATCATTGAATTTTAATATACTAATTTTTTAAAATTTTAACTTTTAGCCTTAACGATATATTAATTTTTCTTTAAATTCAATTAATTTTTTTATTTTTAAAAAAAAGCATCTCTCTCATGCAAACTTTTTTTTAGTAATTAAAAAATATTCAAAAAATGTACACGCTCTAAACTATGCATGTACTAATTTTTGTAAAAGTTTCAAGGCTGTAGCACCTCTCTACGAGGAGATATAAGTGCAAAGAAACTTTTGTTAGACACTGTATACTAAATAATACTATACCAAAGATTGTTTTTAAACTTTAATCGAGGATATCTCAACATCTATCTAACTAAATTTGATGAATTTTTTTTATTCCATTTGTAAAAAGTAGTATAATTAAAACAAAAAGAAGATTATCAAATTTGGTTAGGTAGGTGTTAAGATACCTTCAATCAAAGTTTAAAAACAATTTTTAATACATATTCTATTTGGTATATGTTTTAAATTTTGCAAATCTTAAACTTTCCTCAGCTCAATTATTTTAAAATACTTTATAACTTTATTTTCTACTAAGTTAACCTTAGTTTTGCTACTAAATAAACTTATTCCTAACTAAAAAATACATATTACTAGTATACTAAATTAAAAACTTTTAAAACTATCGAGAAACGGCCTCTCAGCTTTTTTTCTTATATTTCATTTAATAACTCTAGAACGGCTATCTAAACCTACTTTTTGAACTTAGAAAAACTTAAAGAGCTCATTATTTCCGTCATAACAAGCTAAATTTCAAGCTTGTAGACCAAAAACTGACGGAAATACACTTAAAAACCTCTCAAACTCCCCTAAGTTTTTCTTTTTTCCCCCTAAGGTTCTTTTTACAAAAAACTCCATAGGCGTTTTCCGTGTAACACTGACTATTTTTAGATTATACTACCCACGTTTTTAACTATTCAAAATTAGTGGTTCTTTACTAATTATACCAATTTAATTTAATTTTTAATTAAAATTTAATATTTACAAAACAAGAAATATTTAATTAACACAAATATTATAGTTTGCAACTATTTTTTTTTTTATATTGCCAATGGTAGAAACTTTATTTAATTAAAGACTTTTCTCTAACAACAATTGTATATACAATTTCTAATTACATTTGTGCTACTATTACTAGTCACCCAATGTGGCATTATACTCCTTAATTTCCCTATATTACTTTT